CAGCGTGATGCAACATGGCACAATCTTATCCTCGAGTTTCATTTGTGCAAGTACTCGAGAGTGGATAATGCATGTACTACTTCCATCATCCACCATAATGCATCTCACATATGTATATAATATTTGTAAAGTGATAACAAGGGCATCATAATGAGGGAAAACCAAACTGTGGGTATCTGACTTATCGAAGATGATACTTTCTTCGAGTTTGTCATACTGTTCGTGAGTGATCCCCATTTAAGCTTGTGTGTTGTGGTGAAATTCACGCTGTTGATTGAAGCATTGTCACCGCCTTCGATGATCATTTGAATGGTGAGGGTCGGTGAGGGTAGTTTCGGAGGTCCCTGGTGTTGTTCACGTCCTCGGGCAATATTTGTCCTCCCTCGGTCGCTCAGTAATTCTTTGAGGTATCCTTGGCGAAGCAAGTTTACAACCTCCTGTCTTAGGGTAATGCAATCCTTAATTATGTGAACTCTCTCTTGGTGGAACTCGTAGAGGGCATCTGACTTTCTGGTGCTTGGATCTAACCTCATCTTCTGTGGCCACTTTACTTTTGGTCCGATTTTTTCCAATGCGTAGACTATTTTTTAGGGTGACAAAAAAAAATTGTGAGCAGATAACAAAGAGGGAATACCTCTCTAGTTCTGGTGAGTCCTTGTCCTTGGTCTAGGCGGGTCCTTTTCGTGGCGGTAGGGGCCATGATGGCGCTTCTGATATACAGCTAATGCCGTTCTGGGTTAGGTCGTGGAGTTGAGAGGTCCCTCTTGACATCATTTCTTAGATCCTTTTTTGACTCGGCCTGTACCGAGGTCAGTTGATGGGTTGGCCCATTTAGGTCATCCTCGTCTACATGGACCTCGGCATAGTAGGCATTAAGTATTTGATCCCATGTGGTTGGAGGATATTTCATAAGCCGACTTAATAACTTTCAGGTTGCCCTTGAGCCATTCCTGCTCTGCCCGTTTTGGAAAGCTACTACGGACATTCCTTCCGATACATTTGGTAAGTCCATCCTTACTCGGTTGAATTGAGCTCGGAAGTCCCTCAATCCCTCTACGGGCAATTATTTGATGTCGAATATATCGTTCTTTCTTGCCTCTGCTTTTTTGGCCCTAGCATGGGCCGTTATGAACTTTTCGGACATCTCTTCGAATGTTTTGTTGGAATGCGCCTGCAGCTGTGAATACCAAGTTAATGCTCTTTCAGTGAGGGTCTCTCCGAACTTTTTCAACAAGATGGAGGATATTTGTTCTTTGGCGAGGTCATTGCCTTTTACAGCGGTGACATAGTGAGTCGCATGATCTTCAGGATCAGTCGTACCATCATATATTTTCAGATAGGACGACATTTTAAAGGTCTTTGGTATGACATGTAGGGCGGCTTTATCACTGTATGGTTGTTCGACAACCAACATCTCATTTTGGAAAGAGTTTCTAGGCACCCGATATTTGGTCGACTCTTTCTTGGTGCTCTCTCATTTGGTCCCGAAGCACCTTGTTCTCGTTTTCCATTTCCTCCATATTTTTCAAAATGGTTGTGAGGGTGTCGTCGCCAGCATTATTAATAGTGTGAGTAATATCTGTTATCGGAGGGAAAGGGCCATGCTGCTCGACCGTTATCAGTGCAATGCAAGTCCTTGCATTTTCTCGTACTGTCTCCTGGGCGGGCTTGTTGAGGATGCTAGTTAGTGTGTTAGCTAGCCAAGTCTCAAGGAGATTTTTCACTGCTGGTGGTGTCTCTTCCGTTGTGGACGTGGAAGCTCCTTTACCGTAGGACGTTGCAATACTGTCTTGAGGGAGAGGCGACCCACCTCGCCTGGGAGAGGCATTAGGCATCATGTCCTCGCCTTCTATTTTAGAACCTCATTGATGGAGTTTAAAAAATTGATGGTGAGGTCTACCACTGCTCTCATTCTTTCTTCTCTGTTACCTGTCATGTCAGATCTGTGTGTACAAGGAAAAGGGAGCTTTGTTCCGTGTTTTTTTATGAGCAACCCGTAATAGTTATAAATCTTGAAGAAACTAAAAATTTAACTAGGGAATCCCCACAGACGGCGCCAAATTGTTTGACGAAAGTGTAAACCTTAGGTTAAATTATTAAATCTTGTATAATAAAGAGTTAAATCCAGTTAATAATAATATCTCTAGATTTAGAATTAGTTGGTATGAAAATGTGGGATAGCACTTGTGAAGAATTAAAAGCAGTGTGCATTTAATATTCTAAAAGATTTAAGCAATAATAGAGGAGCATCAAGCAATAAATTGCAATAAATGGTATTTGTATAAATGAAGAATATTTCACCCAATATTGAATGAGGTGGATAATTCTTCTCTCTGACAGTGATAAATGACAAACAAATCTTAGGATATTGGAACTATTTTCGGATCTGATGGAAATGTATGAGACAATGGATGATGGAATCTTAGTAAAAATATAGAATCTATATCTTTTCTAGAGAGAAAGTCTTCTTCTCAAAAAAGTGTTCTTATCCAAATGAATATTACAAGCCTTATTCCCTTATCTCCTTTTCTATTTATATGGGACATATCCCTAGTCAACTATAATAGTACAAGTGCAGAGAATATTCAATGTAATATTCTCTTTGATATCTTATTACAAAAATTAGCTGTTAGTACTCTGTCATTGGTGCTCGACCTCGACCATTGTTAACTTTCCGGCTACGAGTTTCACTGTTTACTAGTTGACCTCGGTCACATCGTTTTTCTTAATTTCTCATTGTGCTAAATTCTCTTAGGGCAAATTTTGACCTATACAATATGTACCGGAGAAAAAATATAATTTAAGTTTAGCTTTCTTTCTTTGAATCGTGCGGGAAGTACTTCTTAATCAACTGTGGATAAGTTATAATAAGTTAAGGTTAGAATTAGACATTTCAAGTAGTTTGATGTATCCGCTGAATAGATACAAGTCTTTTTCTACATAAGACAGGATGATTGGCAGTGAGAATTCATATAGCCGATTGCTTTTTTTGCCTTTCAAAATATTGCGTATAAAGAGAAAGATATGTGGTCTTCTTGGACGGCTGAGAGTGTTATGTAAAATGGATTGTGGAGGATGCCCGATTCGGTTGAAAACCTCACTTCCTCCCTCGATAAGTCCAACCTTCTCTATCAGCTTGTTCCGATAGAGGATCATGCTAGGGTCAGATGATCCTTCCACCCTTGCTTTAGGATTTTGATCTGCTACTTTATCCGGGTAATATAGATCATCGAAAAAATCTCGAAGATTAAGGTAGTGATTTAGTAGTAAGATGGCTGTATTACCTCCCCTTAACTTATGTGGGAATGCAACGTCAATTCTAAGACATGTACCTTTATCTGTTTCTAGGTCTGCTTCCTCCATAGAATCTATACTAACCTTTCCTACTCATATTAAAAAATAAAACGTGCATAAATGATCACTTCCATTTCTAACTCCTCTTTAGTGGTTGACAAAATGGATTAAAAACCACAGTTATCCATTATTATTCACTAAAAAATTAATTAGATAATGAACTTTTTAAAAATGAGTGTAATATGAATCGGAAAAGATTCATATTATCCACTTAAAAAATAGATAACGAATAGGTTTAACTTTTATATTTGCAAAGACTCAAATTGGGACTCTTCAAGTTTGGAAGACTAGGAATTCTACCAAAAAATATTTATATTTAAGAAGCCATGGATAATATGGTTAATTAACCCATTTTTTTTATCAATTATTAAATATGGCTCAGATCGAATATTTTATCCGTTCTTACATTATTTGTTTCTGACCCACTTATATCTGATCTGACCGGCCCGTTTGCCAACCCTACTCCTCTTCATCTAATTGGTTGATCAAGAAATATAGAAAATCAGGAAGGATGGAATAAATAAATTACAAAATACAAAAAAAAAAAAAGTAAAAACAAAATTTTGAGGGGGTTTGCACGGAGGGGTAGGGTGTAGGGTAGTGTAGAAAAACAAAAAAAACAGAAAATTGAAAATACAAAAAAACGTTTTAAGGGGGTTTGCGTGGCCGGGAGAGGGGGAGTGGTGGTGCAGAAAATTGAAAATACGAAGAAAAAAAAGTAAATTTTTTTTTGAGGCGGAGGGGGTAGGGTTATGCAGAAAAACAAAAGATAGAAAATTAAAAATCCAAAAAAAAAAAGTGAAATTGAGGCAACTAAGTAAATTTCTAGATAAGTTGGGTTGAGATCCTTTTGTTTTGAGTGAGTTTCATGTGTTGTATTCGGGATACTTAATAGGTCAGAATGAGTTATAAAAACTAATGGATTAACTTGGGCTCAACCCAAAATGACCCATTAGCTAAAATATTTATAGCCCAGCCCATTAATCTCTTGGTTGGTTAGGCGGATTGAATGGGTTTGGGCTCAAATTGTCACCCCTACCAATCATCGGTCATATGTATCTTCTTGGTTCAGTGTTACACCAGTCGTTTCAGAAATTAGCATTGCACTATGGACCATTCATGTTGATCCATGCTGGTGCATCATCATCATATATAGTGTCGAACGACGCCATAGCAAAAGAAATTTGTATGACCAATGATATCAATTTTGCTACTAGGCCAGAATTTGGCTCTTAAGAGTACTAAATTTACAAAGACACCTTGTTTTCCACTTTGGACTATAGCAAGTATTGGATTTTTATGAAGAAATTTTGCATGACAGAGATTCTCTCCCCTCAACAGATTACTAAATTTGCTGATGTTAGGAAGGAGGAAATGATGAAATTATTGGAATTTTTTGCTAAGTGTTCAGAACAAGGGGAGGATTGTGATGTTGGAAATCAACTTATGGCTATGATAAATAATCATGAGCACAAGAACCTCAACTAATGTCAATGAGAGCGCGGAGATAAGAGAAATCTCTAAGGGAATAACATTACTTTCAGGTCAGTTGAGCTTAGGTGAAGTGTTTGGTCCAATTGAAGAAATATGGTCTTCTTGGAGTTGGAAGAAAGGTTAAAGCGTTGTTGCTTAGGTTTGATAAGTTTATGGATTGGATAATCAAGAAACACGAAGAGGAAAGGCGCGCTAGAAGTAAAGAGAAGAAAGATATGATGGATATTCTTCTGGGAATTGCAGAGGATAAAAATACTGAGATAAAGCTCACTAGAAATGGCATCAAGGGTCTTTTCTTGGTAAGAATCATCTCCTTAGAAAGATGGATCCACGACTTAAATTTGACGCGTTCAACCTTTATGTTTGAAATTTTAATAATTGTTGAAATTTTAGTGACTTTTCACATATATATACCTATGCTCTATCTAAAAATGATAGGTTCAGTTGATGGTTCTTTTATTTATTTATAGAAATTAACTTAAATACTCGTCCGCCCAAAGCCTCGCGATAACATAAAATTAACCTTATGAATTGAATCTTAAATAAGCCCCCCACCATTTTCATCAGACAGTGAAGTAGGAGCTCGCTCCCTAACTAGCGGTACTTCTATAGCTTACCTCTCAAGGTCCTGTTTGAAAGGCAGTTTCCAAAATAATAGTTGGAAAATGTATATATTATGTATATTTAGTGTATAACAAATGTATATTGGCTAGGAGATACAAATATTTTTGATCGAGCGGCCAAATATGTAACTTCCCCTTCTTTTTTAGCCTTATTTAATAGGATATGTTCTTGGGAGGAACTTATACAACAAGTGTTGCTTTGAAATGGGCGCTCGCGGAGTTGCTAAACCATCCAAAAACCATAAAGAAGCTGCAACAAGAGATTGACAGAATAGTTGGGGTAAAAACAGATTGGTTGAGGATTTAGATATATAAAATCTTCCTTATCTACAAGTTGTTGTCAAGGAAACTCTAAGGTTACATCCTTCGTTGCCCTTAGTGTTCCGAAAATGCAGGGAAGATTGTGAGATCAATGGCTACAAAATACTTAAAGATTCTAGGCTTGTAGTCAACCTTTACGCGGTTAATAGGGACTCAAATGCATGGGCTGATGCAGATGATTTTGTACCAAAGAGATATCTTAACTTAAACGAGAACCTTGCGATCGAGCCTGATGAATTGGAGGCCATTAAAGAAGGCCAAAACTTTTGTTATGTGCCATTTGGTGGAGGAAGGAGAGGATGCCCTGGTGCTGGACTTGCAACACCAATATTGCATAGGACACTTGTGCAATGATCCAATGTTTTGATTGGAAAATTAAAGGTGGAGAAACACTTAATATTGAGCTGGATTTTCTGCTGCCATGGTTTATCCTTTGGTTTGTTATCCTGTTATGCGTCTTAAAAAGGACAGCCCGGTGCACAAAACATTCCGCATTCGCACAGGGCCCGAGGAAGGGCTGCAACCCGAGTAATGTGATATAGACAGAGCTAACCTTATACAAGCATCAATGGCTGATTCCATGGTTTGAACCCGTGACCTATTGGCCACACGGAGAAACTTTACTGTTGCTCCAACTTTATTGTTATGTGTGTTAATCCACTAGAAATTGCCAACTGATTGGACTACTTTAGGAAGGAGCCAAAGGTCTTAATTTTAGTTTAGACTGTTAAACTTAGTTGATGTTGTTACAGTCTGATTTAGTCAATATCATGTTTATTTGCCTTCATATTATATATCATTGGAAACTAGTGAGTGAAGAATCTGGATTTTAAGTATGAATCTTTGAGGGAACATAACAAAAATAATTGCCGTATCAAAATTGATATTTTAGACAAAAGGTAAATTAAAAAACTAGAGTTCGGGTTTTGGATCCAACCTCTCACTCAAGAAACTGGTAAAAGTCATTTACTTTTGTTGCATCTTTCGCAGTCTCAATCCTCCTCAGCCTAGACTAGGCTGCATTGCCGTACCTTCATACCTTCGTTTCAATGTCTTGTCTTAAGGTCATCCCGAGTCACTTTATTAAAGCATAATTTTGCTCGTTTACATTTTTTAGTCTAAATCTATTTCCTTTATACGCACCATTTAGAGCATTCTAAAGAGAAGACTTAGAGATTCAACACATGTCACAACCATCAATCTTTTTTTTAATCTATGCAAATTAACACACNCAGGATCTAGGATTTCTAGAATATGAGTGCACTACTAAAGAAAGGAGAAAAGAAAGTATAAAGTAGGAATAAATCCATGTTTCTTTGGGTAATAACTCAGTATTCAACCAAATGCACTATTCAATCTTTTTGAAGAATGGAGCCCGTAGATAATATTAGACCAATTATAAAAAATATATACAAAAATATCTAGTTGGATAGAGAGATTATGAGTTCACATGTCCCATAGTCTAAGCTATAAATCCGCCCCTGCTCGTACAGATGGATTGTAACAATTTCCTCATAAGAACAAACATAGCTAACAAGCATAAATAAACACATATTTATTCCAAAGATAATAGGAAGGGCATAGGGAGAAGTAGTTTAAGGAGTTAGTTGAAGAATTACTTTTCCAACATTGGAGCTAGAAAATAGAGATGCTAAACTCTCCAAAAAGCTCTCAATACCATTGTAGATTTTGTGTATGGAGTTTATTTTGCCCTCTTTCAAGTAAACTCCCATCTCTTTTATGAATTCCTCAAAGTGGTTATAATATGAACTCACCATAAACCCTTTCATCATAACTTCTTTACCCACCATGTTCAATAGGTTCCGAACCCCTTCTCTTTCTGTCCAAACCTGCAAAATAATAATAAAAAAATATTGGTGATTAGAGCTTTTATTTTTATTTTTCAATAGCTTGAAAGGAATAAGGGGAGACTTGGAGCAATAGTAGAGTTGTCTCTGTGTGACCTATAGGTCATGGATTCGAGCCGTGAAAGCAATCACTAATGCTTGCATTAGAGTAGATTATCTATGTCACAACCTTAGGGTGCAACCCTTTCCTGGATGTTGCATGAACGCGAGATACTTTGTGCACCGAGCTATATGTTTTTAATAGCGAAAGGAAGAAAAAAGACCCAAGTTTGTACAAAAGTTAGATATTTTTACACAAATAGTCAGTCAGGTTTATTGTTTATTTTTTCTAATTAGTATATATGAATTATATATGATTATACACATATTATACATGGATTAAAACATTGAAGGATACCTTGTTATACTCGGATATCATCCCACAAAGTGCAATACGAGCTCCGTGGTTAACATGATTAAGAACAGCCTCAAGCATTTTACCACCAACATTGTCAAAATAAACATCAATCCCATTTGGGAAATATCTGTAAAAGGTAATACAATAATAGTGAGCATGTCAATCGCTAGAAAAGAAGTCCAAGGAAAATAAAAAGATTTACTAGCTAGTAATTAGTACTACCAAAAGCCTAAATTTTTTGAAGAAACAAAGAAATTTACTTGGTTAATGCAGCATCATAATCTGTCTCTACACGGTAATTAAAAGCATCATCGTAACCACATTCTTCTTTCAATAGCTTCACCTACACGTAAATAAGAAAACGAATATCCAAATCAATTACAAGTCAAATTAATTTATCTCCTCTATAAAAGACTATAAAACTTTAAGGAACCTATTATGATCTAACATGAAGGCAGGATTCAAAATGAAGAAGAGCAATAACAGAAATTAAGAAGGAATAACAGAAATTAGGAAGGAATAACAGAAATTTAAATGGACGGCTAGGATTAGTTTAAGCTTTAATGAACCCCAAGGGCCACGATTTAGCCACGTCAGCTGTTGGTTGTTATAACCAACTGCATCAGAGAGAAGGAGGCATCGTTCAACAGAAGTATTTCCTCTTCCTCTTCCTAACAAATCTCTTCTTCTCTTATTCTCTTCAGGTTCTGCAGCTATGGAGACTAGTTAGGAGTAGTCATTTCTCATTCCGTTGTAATAGTTAGTTTTTTTATCAATATATTAGAAAATTGTTCCAAAAAACACTATTTCCATTTTTGTATTTGATTTCCTTAATTCGATTTGAGTTCATTACAGAACCAAGTTATATCAAGACAACTTGTACAAAGAAACTTCTGAAATCGTTCTAGCGAGTTGTAAAATCTTAACCTAAATTTTGTAATTGGAAGAGAAAAAATCCCATATTATATAGTGTAAGTTTTAAGGGCATATAGTAAATAATTTGGGATGTAAAACAAATAATACCTTATCATCCGAACCAACACTTCCAACAACTCGACACCCTTTTACTTTGGCCAGTTGTCCAGCTATAATTCCAACTCCTCCCACTGTAGCCGATATGTACACATTCGATCCCGCTTTAGCATTTCCTATTTTTCCTATGCCCACCCACGCAGTTATACCAGGCATTCCTATAGCACGGTGAAGAAAAAAAACACATAATTACGTGATCTTGATTGGAGTAGGAGAGGTATTAGGTATATACCTAAGCAACTAAGATAATTGGGCAACGCAATCCCAATTGCAGGAGTAATCTTCTGAAGCAAATTTGAGGGCATAACACCAAATTCTGAAACAGGGCAAATACGACTAAGTACTATATCTCCTTCTGAAAACTTGGCGTCCTTAGATTGAATTACCTTCCCCATTCCCAACGCTGTTATCACCTGCAATTTTTCATTTTATTAATTAATATCTGCATACTAGAGCTATACATTTTTATTACTACAACTTTGGCTGAAATTAAAGTTTGTTAACTGTAAACAGAATACTTATACTATTTCTTTTTCGTTATTTAAGTTACTCTTGTCCTTTGAAGCGTGTACTAGTTACCCTCTCAGTTTTTTTTTGATTTCCCACTTGGTGTCCGGTAACTGTATTGTGGCCCGAGTAAATCCAGATTCTATACCTAGGACTCGAACTCGAGACCTCTGGTTAATGATTAAGGAGTACTTACCACTCCACCACAACCTTTGTTAATCACCCTCTCTTCTTTTTATATGATTTGCATTTATACCCACCGAAATATCATGACATATAAGACTATAAGTTTTGAGGTTATCTTTGATACTCCGTCAATGTCAATTAATTTTCTCATGTTACCCTCATTGACTGAAGGTACTTTTGATATTTCCTTTATATTTCTTCAAATTACCATTTATCTCTCCTCAAAAAATTTAAATCATTTATTGAAGCAAGAAATAGATTTGAAAACAAAATTGCGGTCTTTTAATATTTAGTAAAGCGTCATATTTTTGACAAATTAATTTGGTTAAAATAACACTTACTTTTGATCGGAGCTAAAGGGTATATATATTAAAAGGACAGTCCGGTGCACTAAGTTCCCGATATGTGCGGGGTCCGGGTTTATCGTACACAGGGACAGATTTAGGGGGGCGCAAGGGGGTTCACCTGAACCCCCTTCGCCGAAAAAATACACTGTATATATAAGGCAAAATCTGTTTTTTATATTTATATATTAAGTGTTGAACCTCCTTAACATAATCCAAAAGTGTAGTTTAGTGGTCAAGGAGGTTCAAAACCTACATAGGGTCATGAGTTCAATTCTTACTAGATACAAAAAAAAAAAAAATTTGAACCCCCTTCCTGGAGATCCTGCCTCCGCCACTGATCGTACACAGCCTTACCTAGAAGGTATGACTTCTTGGTCACATTGCAGAAACTTTACCAGTTACACCAAGGCTCCCTAAAGGGTATATATAAGAAACATTTTTTTTGAATTCATGATCAGCCTAACACCCTCACATAAAATCAGACGGGGAGAAGTCAAGATAGTAAACCTGGCCAAGTGGAATCTGAGGAAAAGAGAGGCCATCATCTAGACCACTCAATTGAGTGCGTACATATGGATCAATGGAGACATAGAGGACTTGGAATGTCACGTGTCCATCTGGAATGGAATCAGCTCTTAGTGATAAACTCACAGTACGTAGCTTAAGATGCTCAGAATTGGGAACACCCGTCGGTGCATAACTAGCAACGTACCATTCTCTGTTCTCCACATCCGTAGACGCAGAACTATTAGCAGCCATTCTCTGTGTTATAGAGTGTGCGTGCGTGATTTGTGTGAAGAAGAGATTTTAAGTTGATATAGGCACTGAGGAAAAGGCGTAATACATTGAATTTTGATGGATATTTAAGTGTCCTAGACGTATAGTGGTGATCCTTGACACCTCGTGCTGTAGTTTTCCTAGTCTAAATTAGAGGTGTGATATTATGTGGTGGACAAAAACTTGAATAGTTTGCTTTTGTTCGGTGCACGTTTTAAAAATGTTCTTCTTTCCTTATAATTAGCGAATGATACTTTCAAATACTCAAATATTGTTATGAGGGGTCTGTATACGGTCAAAATCGGGTTTGTCCATTATTTCATTAATCGAGGCTGAAATATGGTAGGTCAAAGCTCGAGCTCGGGTTATATCGAACCAAGGCACAAAGTTAGATCGTCGAGCTCGTGATCCAGAGACTGAGCAAGATCGAGACCGAGCAAGATCGATAGAAACTTACCGAGCCAAATAACGGAAAGCCGAAATATCCGCAATCGGTCGAGGATCACGGCGAAAATCTCGGCACGTATCACGAAGATGCTGATTAATTAGCAAATCATGAGATTTTTTTTACCTTGTATATAATTGTACCAAAAGTAGAATACTCCCACTATATAAAGGAGGGTTCTGATCATTTGTAGGACACATTGTAACACGCAAAAAGAAAGCATTATACTAACCATCTTTAGTTCTTATCATCTTATTGTTCAGTTCTAACACTAGTTGAGATATTTTTTGGCCCGAGGTGATCAAACTCAGAAGCTAAGACTACTCAATTTTGTGGTTTACATTTATTTTATTATCGTTAATTTTAATATTAATTTGTCTTCTTAATTTGTATCAAGTTATATCACGTATCCTTAAAACTGTGTATAAATTCAATTGTTATCCAATTTTAAGGGTAAACAGTTTAGCGCCCACCGTGGGGCCAAGGATAATAATGATTACCTGATATAAACTTTAATAACACATACTATTTTATACTTGTTCTTTGGAGTATCTTTGATTCCGGGACCAAAATGTCAAATTCTCAGTCAGCACCTCTGCATGTTGACAATGATTTCGGCTACCACGAAGAAAATGATAACATGGCACCAGACATACCCCCGGTTGGCCTCGATGGAGTTCTGGCTGCAGATCAAATTGGCATCAGCTCATATGTAGCCATTAAGGCAAACTTGGTCGTCGATCTTGAAGGCAGCATCCGTGGGGAAGTTCGATCAGCTGCTCAAAGCACTTATGATGGCGAAGATGGCGGGATTAGCCTACGGGTGATCTTCGAAATGTTGCAGGCTCAACAGGCAGCAATAGCCCAGATCCAAAACTAGAATCATCCACTCCACTGACTAGGATCGAGCCCGAGCCATCCCAGGAAGTTGTTCACAGGGCCGAATCGGTTTCAAGGAAATCAAACTAGAAAGAATCGGAGACCAATCCTACAATCATGCAGATGCTCGACGAACAGACAAAACGAATTAAGTCAGGGAAAAGATGATCGAGGCAAATTGTAGACATGTGATTTTTGACCCTCCCCGAGATTTTTTATATTTTAGCATATAAATATTTAATTCAGGCCTAATATCGGTATTTCAACTAGTTTTGACTCTTTTATTTTTTTTTATTACAAGAAAATAAAAATTACAAAAAAATATATTTTATTTTATGTACCTTTCATAGAGTAAAAAAAATACAAAAATAGTACCTTATTTTATCTTTATATAATCTTGAAAAATACAAAACAATATGTAATAGTTTCATGTTTTAATATAGTTTAGTTTAATTAATTAGAATTTATTTTTGCATCATGTAGTATAGTTATCTTATATTAAGAGAATTTAGCTATGGTTTTAAATAATAATTTTTGGAATCTTCTTAGCCCAAAATTGAGACACAAAAAGATATGGCCCAACCCAATTACCCTTAGCCTATTCTTCCCAACCCATTAGCCCATTTAAGTGCAAGATTTAATCCTAGCCATCTATTTCCTTCTAATCCAATGGCCATCATCCCTTTCAACTTCCATATAAAATACTCAATTATAGAAACTTTACCCTTAAGTTTTCAATTCCTACAACTCTAAAGCAACAAAAACGGCAGCCAACCTCAATGGAGATGATGATCTTTGAACTCAATTAAAATGCTTCTACCGTCGAATTCCCCAAGTGAAGAACCGACTACCCACCTTCACTTATCTCCAAATTCTCTTATAATTGAATCATGGCACTGGCAAAAGATTGGTCTTTGATGCAATAAAGTAGGCCGATTTTTCTCATTTTGTGGACAAATTAGTGAAAGTGGAGTCGAAGTGGTCCGTCATTCTCCGTCTTGGATGTTAATCGACGATGGCTTAGCTACTGGATACTTCATTCAATCTCTTTGTTGGGAAAATCTATTGATGCCATACTAGAAAGATAAATAGCGTCACTTTTTATAGTAACTGTAAGTATTCAAATTTGTATCCTTTCTTTTTATTGGCTTGCTGTGTTATTTATTTATTTATTTAATATATGATTTCTGAATAATCATGATTGCATGTGTTTGTCCTGTTGATTTCTGTATTTTTTTTAATAATTAGTAGGAATTTAGACAATTGTAGTGTTCAATTTGACGGTGTAGATAAATTCGACCAGTTATAAGTTAGGAAGCCAAAGAATCTGATAAGTTATATATGATTTCGATTGTGATGTATGTAGTCTTGGTCCTCAAATAAATACTTTTAATTTGGTAGATGAAAAATTGAAGTTGTTTCTTTATTAACAAGGAATAAGAATGGGCGATAAAGTGTGTCTTGAACTATAAGGAATTTAGGCCAAATAATAGATCATGTTAGCTAGCCTTTGGCCCCAATAATATCTTGTTCATAAATTTGGCCTTATAACAAATTCAAAGATTAGGAAAATAATTCAAATGCGTATCTTGCTTCAGGCGCGCTTAATAATAAATTATCGTGGTCATGGGTACGGTTCCCGTAGCATGGTTAGGATACGTGAATCTCAATTCGGCTGTGCATTTATGTGACCCAAATCCAAATCTCAAACAATGTTAGATAAAATGTGTCATTGACCGCGGGTGCATTTATGTGATGTGGTTCAGGACATGTTTTAGATGACGTTGAATCTTTCTTTTAAAAAATAGTTAAGTAAAAGCGGTTGTAAAATTAAAATTGTACCATAGGTTAAAACATGTACTAAAATCAGATAATAGGCCAATTATAACAGTTGAGCGACCGTGCTAGAACCACGGAACCCGGGAATGCCTAACACCTTCTCTCGGGTTAACATAATTCATTACCCGAATTTCTGTGTTCGCGGACTTTAAAACAGAGTCAACCTTTCCTTGATTCGGGATTTGAACTGGTGACTTGGGACACCATAAATTATCCCAAGTGGCGACTCTAAATTTTAAATAAAACAATCCCGTCTCGATCGTCACTTTAATTGAAAAAACACTCTTACACACCCTCTCAGGGTGTAGGAAAAAGGAGGTGTGATAGCTTTGGCGAATCTGCTGGGGATCGAACCCAGAATCTCTGGTTCAGGGTTCAAGAATTCGAGCTTAGAATAATTGTTATATTTGGCTATATTTATTATCTGATTTTATTACATGTTTGGGCCTAATGCGCTAAATGTTGCTTTTTACCGCTTTGATATTATTTGAACTGTATATAAACTGCTACGAAACCCCTCTCTTCTCTCTTCTGAGGAGTGCACGCTGGCGTGACTTCTTTCTGTTAGTGTCATATCCCAACTAGAACGAGGTTCGGACAAGTTACAAAGCCGGATGATCTTTTGGTTACCGGTACGCTGCTCCCCCCGGCTCGAGTTGTCCGCTCGGGTAGGTCTAGAATAATACACCCAGGTTTTAAACATAGAATAACTCAGCCTCATGCCGGATCCCTAGTAGGAATGTTTGTTTACATCACGTGCATTTGACTTTGGAGACTCAACACAGGGGTTGGGTCTGTCTAGGGCAGGTATACCCAAAAATCAAAAGACTATCTTGATGCATCTTACGTGCTACTTGCGTATCTGTCTGTTTCGACTTGCATGTTGACTGACTTCTAGAATAGGGAAAGAAAAAAAAGAAAAAAAAAATCAATAAAGAGGAGAAAGAAGAAAAAAGAAACAAAAAGAGATAGATAGGTTTTTAGAAAATTCTAAAAATCAGCCAAAATTCTGGGGGAAAAAGTCATTTCAAAATGAGCCAAAATTTTCAAGTGTCATGTTTTCCTGTTCCGTCAAAACTAGGCGAACTACGCGGGTTTGATTCTCACCGGATGTGAGATACGTGGGCAAACCTCATCGGTTCCGGCCCATAATTTTCAAAAAATCCACAAATATTTTCCTTTACTTCCTCTCTAGAAAAGTCTTTTTTTAGACCACAATTTTCAAAAAATCCAAAAATATTTTCCATTACTTACTTCTTTAGAAAGCCTTTCTTTTAGACCCAAATTGTTTTTTCTAAAAATATATACAAAAATATTTTCGTTTAATTTCTTCCAAAAATCCAAAAATATTTTCTTTTTTTTAGAAGCATTTCTTTCATAAATTCAAAATAAAATTCCAAAAATATTTTCTTTCTTCTTTAGAAGTTTTTCTTTCGAAATTCCAGAAAAAAATCAAAAAAAAAATCTTTCTTTTCAAAAATGCTGAAGAAAAATCAAAATCCAAAAATATTCTCTTTCTTCTTTATAAGTCTTTCTTTCGAAAAATAAAATAAAAATTCAAAAAAAAAGTTAGTTTATTTACTTTATTCATGATCTTCCCGAACTACGCAAGATCTGATTCATGTTCCCACATGATACGTAGGCAACCCATATCATGTTTGATTGAATGGTTTAAAAAAACATGGAAAAAAAGAGAAAAAAGAATAGAAAAAACAGAAAAGAGAAAAAGGAAAAAAAGAAAGAGAGTGTTTATTCTAACATGCTTGCTATTTTGAAATAAAAGCTAGTCAAAGGTGGTCGGTTTGTTGGTTTGCAATGGCGAGTCACAAAAACAATCCAAGAACCCTAAAAAATAAAAGCATCTTCTCAACAAATG